AACCAACATTGAGCCAACCGTTGTACTTTCTGATCACAAAGACCGATTTTGGTTGATGCTCAGCTAAGCGTCAACTGAACCAAGTCCCGAAGACAAACGCTTACGCAGACTAAATGAGGTTAAATACATTTTCATGTAAATTGGGGCCCTTATGCAGTCGGTGGATTAACCGAACGCTAGAATGTAAGTCTGAGCTCGGTTTGCGAAATTTCATCATGAAGCCGAGATAATACACTGCGGCAGTCTTTCGTGGCCTCGAATTCAGGGGATTTGCGCGACGAGTCCCGGTGAAGTAAAACATCGATGTATATTTAGCACCAATGTCCATGCCTTATCAGACGCGAGTTTGCGCAGGGTGATCCAAACTTCCACGGATTAACATATGAGCCTGCACTGTACAGGCAGTGGACACCTCCATCTCACCCTCATGAAACCATGGCACCGGGTGACCCTTGGAGACATATGTATTCATTGCAGTGAGAGAAATTGTTATGCGATGAGGAGGTTGGCTTTTCAGGTACTGTGATTGACCAAGCTTTCCGCCGATGAGCGTGATTACGAAATGTACCGAAGAGCGAGATTTCTGGGTTTAAATCACGAGTTCCTGGTTTAGAATCAGCAAAAGATGTTCGAAAATTGCATGCTTTGTGCGCAAGCGGACTGGAAAGAAGCGTCACGAGAAGTGAAGAGCTGTACTTGAACAGAGAGTTGTTTAATGTCAACAGCGGCCGCTCCGTATGCGCAAAATAGAATATTCCTCGAAAGCCACGTCATTTTCAGGGTTGCCACTTCAAAGTGTAGAACGGCTACGTAGTGAGACATTTTACACAAATTATCTACATTGGTGATTGCCTAAGTGAGTGGCCACAGAGCATACAAAAGCTTAAGTCTGTGTCCCTAGACTACCATCTGGTTTGAGATGCAGTATCCTCGACCACTGACGGCTGGCCATCAGATGCAGACTTTGCACCTAAACAATCAGCCGCTCAATGCTGCCCGTGGCCCTCTGGGTTTAACCACTAAAGCTTATTTACTATTCGGTTCAGTTTATGCAGGCCGTCCGAAGCTGTCAGTGATGTCTAGGGAAGAGTATAGGGCTACACTTTTTCCGGTAGGTTGCAACCCGAAAGCCATTGTTAGACTAGGACAACATGAGTAAATATCTATGAAAATGTTTATTACCGCTTAGGATAGATTGATCTCCAGGGAACATATTTATACAGGGGACTCGCATCTTCCGGTAGAAGAGGCATGTGTATATTCTAGCGCAGATGTTACCCCCTGAGTGTTTATACCACGAAATATAAGTTAGGTAGGGTGGGTTGACCTCACCTTGTTTGTTCCGGCACTATATTAGTGCAGCCTTCGTTGTCGCGGCTCCAAATGCATCGAAACTAGTCATTCGTCAGACAACGTTCAGAACGTAGCCGTCACCCTCCAGGATTTCCCTTCGGTCGCAGTGATACCACATACGCATCTCAATTCTCGCCTGACTCACCCGGCATGTTTTCCGTATAGCGTACTCCTGTATGTCAGAGTGGGGTATTCGGTTTTAAATGTGACCATTGGCATTCTGAGGATGGTTGTTAGTCAAATAACTCAAGTGAGCCATCCCGGTTTGTGCACGCACAGCCAATTTTCAGCCAATATGCAACCAGCGGGCCGTAAGATAAGTGGAAATTCGCGCTTCCTTGCGGCGCAGTGTTTGCAGACCTCGCTCAAGCAAGCCATGCGGTGAAACACATATAGGCTGTTTGCTGGGGTGCCCGTAACCGGGAATATACATGTTGCGCTACGTATATGTGCTTGCTGATAGCTCTTCTAATATGAAAGTAGGACAGCGTTGTGTCGCAGCCGAACATGGCTCCTGCAGCCAGCATTCGCGCCGCCAACTTGTTGATGACGATAGTCCTAATGATTTTTTGCAACCCACCATTTCCTGGAATAAATGGAACCATTTATACATATGGGAAAACTGCTGTCTCTACGGCGGGAACTCATGCCATCCAATATCAGAAGGTATACAGCTTTAGTCTGCAAGGCGAATAGTCGGTGCTCTAAGAAACTCACCAAAAACAGTTTTTGCGTGCGTCCGACTCCATTCAGTACATTTGGAAAGCATCGAAACAGCGTTATCTGCTGCCATCTGGAGAGGCATATGTGGCCATGGTGGGTTTTTCCCTGACTGTAGCACAAGCACGCGTCCAGTCTCCCGAAGTTTTGCCAGGACCGGAGGTGTACAATCTACTAGAATGAAACTTTACCAAGCGGCACCTACTCAACGGAGCCGGTCAATACTTCCGGCAGTATTGCATTTATCCTGACTGGCAAGCATATCGTCGAATTCATAGGCCGCAAACTGCTACACTTCACATGACGGCGTCCCATACTTCAGCGGGACCCTGCAGCTTCCCAAATTATCTTCAGTCAGTGGTCGATATACCGCAAGCCGATCTTGCAGCGATCAAGAAAACTTATGGCTGAATGCAAGATAGTAGGAGGAGACTAAGACATGGTTCCCCTATCTCCAACAAAACCGCGCTGGACAGTCGGTGCTTCGCGTACCGTTATTTTTACTTGGAAAACAAGCCTATCTCACTAGTTTCTTCGGATTTCTCGAATTTTCGTTTGCGTTGCAGGCCGCCTGCAGCGTTTTAGTGCGCCCATTCGTAAAGCATAACAGCTGTGGGGTTTCAATTACTGGATGAACGTGCAAATACCACGTGGTTATTCTTCATGCACTTATTTAACGCCCTCCCAAACGCTGTGAAGGATAAAAAGAATACGGCCCCCAATTTCTCAACAAATATAATTGAAGCCAATTCTGAAGCCATATCTTTGCAAGGTAAAAATCGGATGCACGCCAGAAACCTTGAAGGGAGATTAATTAAAACAAATCGCTAAAAATCCCAGATTAAGGCAATTTTTTGTCTGAGGACCTATGCAAAAACAAACAAAATTTGGGCGTAAAAAAATCCTATTTCACCAACAAGGGCTTTGCAGAAAAAAAGCACTGTGCTTCCAAGGCGCTTGTTACAGTAGGCCCGTGCCTCGCTAGTCATCACATGCACGTAACAAATGGTGTTCACGGTCTGAGATCGAATTTTCATGCATATTTCCTGAGGTGATTAGCCGAAAAAGGAGCAGTAACCTATTTTTAGAGTATTTGCTTTGTCACCCTGAATTTAGGCATTGCACCCAACCAATTGAAAAGTTACGGTTCACAACGTTTTCTTGGAATGCAAAAGCGGAATTTTCGATTGACATAGGACAAAATTGTGCATATTTTCCTGCGACATGCGCCATCATTCGGACCCTTTCCGTAGTTCTACTCCGAATAACAACATCCGGAATTTCACTAATCGGGAGCGCTCTTCGAAAAATTGTGACGCACTCATTTCGCGGTTGTGTTTTTTTCATTACCAACTAAGTCGAAACCTCGAAATCGACACCAGTAGCTATTTTGAATAGTAGATAGCCAGCACCCCAGCCATAATTATAAAACGAAAGACAATGGCCTAAGTTTAAATGGTAGCATTAACTGCGATACTCCGCAAAAAGAAGAAACAAATCAATAGTCATCCAGAATTGGAAAAGTGCCACAAAACTCCAACCTTATCTTGTATATTTCCGTCATAGGACAACCCGCACTGAGCCCCAATTCAGCCTCGCATGCCTCATTATCCGTGCTCACAATGTCCATGGCTCACACTTGCAGGTACACTGGCCATCCATCATCCTGTCGCCGAACTGTAGCACCATAAAAATTCTCACCATCCCCGCTTTCCTTTGAATGGTCACACCTGCTGCTCCACCATCAGATTGAATTCTTCATCCCTAGTTCTAATTTGATAACATGCACCCCCCCCCCCAATCTCAGCAGCCACCTCTCAAATTCTCTCACTCACTAACTATTTTGTCGTACTCTTACCACACTTTTGCTGCTCAAACATTGTCAAAATACCAGAATTTAAAAGTGATAACATAAATGCTAAACTCTTCATGCTGAGCGGGTGGATCGAAGTCCACCGAATATCGATTTATTTTGGAGGCATTGGTTCCACGAAAAGCTATCCCGTCTTGAGGAATCACGTTTTACCCGTGGCGGTCTCGTGAAGTCCACTCAACCGTGGTGTTCCCCTTCTAACGCTCTCATTGAGTGACACCTTGCCGATTCGGCTAAAGGTGTTTTGCCGCGTTTCATTATATGCAATGGCTACCAGCTCTTCCATATCCACGGACAACGATGACGCATGGCTTCACAGCTCAACACTTGCCTGCTCTCAACAGCTTCTCAGTGAGACTTCAGCATAGCGCGGTTAGGTCATCAAACACACGTACCAGCTCGACTCGGTGGCTCCGCGTACAATACATTCAGAGCCTCAGACAGAATTCTCCAATCACTTATTTCCCGCCGATTTACCCACAAATCCCTTATCAACACCTAACCCGTTCTGTCGCTGGCTGGTCGGGCAGGATCGCCCTGTATTGCTGGTCTTCAAATGCATATCGGTTTGCTAGTCATCATAAAAGAAAGCTCTTGCGTCCGTATGCCACGAATTTATAAAAAGTGCCGTTCAGTCGCGAACAATAGGTCGATAAGTTTCTCCACGCCTTTGGTCAGCTTCTGGAACTCCAGCCTCAAAAAAGACTCCGTCTCCGATTTTCCGGCAGTACCTCAGAAAGAATCGGGCGTGCGGGTCCTCGCTGGTCTTTTCTCGTAAGACGCACCATCTCATGCTTCCACCAACATCTTTCCTCTTATGGGTCATTTGGTCAAGTAAGTCTTTCATAACAAGATTCTAGCAGCAGACACTACCTGTGTTCGATTAGTTTCAGAATACCGCCGAACCCCTGAGCTAATCGTGATGAGGGCATATCGGAACGAATAACGCGGAGAGCATTCTATCCTCTCAGCAAAGGTCCTTTCCAGGGCAACTGTTTCAACCTACTCTCTCCTCTTAACTACCGACCTCCCGATGGCCGTGTTATCTTCCCGCGTTTTCCAGGATGGCTCACTGACCACATTCCTCAAACTCATCCGCGAAAATGATGATGCTATCCTACTGAAGAAGGCGAGTAAGTTCACCTAGTAGGGTTCTCTCAGTGAATACTGGTACCTTATACAGCAGACTACTGGGGCGGAGAGTCCAAGCCGAGGAAGCCTGGGCCTTCGTATGATAGAAGCCGGCTATCCAACGAGCTCTTTCTCAGCTCTTCACCAGATTTGGTCTCCTCGCCTGCGTTTGTCAGTTTTCATCCCAAAATACTCTTTCTATCGGTCAGCCATCGCTTAATAACTCTTCCGCACTCTATTCTATTCCGCCCATTGTGCTGTCGCCGTGAGCATACGATTCAACTGAGTTCATCGTCAATCCTTACATATGTCCAGTTTGCACCCAGGAATCACTGCATCGAAACAACCCTATTCCTCAATCTATATAGCATATACCGACGCAAATGTTCCTTGAACTTTGAACTTTTATATACTGTTTATTCTCAATGGAAACTCAATGGACTTAAGACGTACAAATGCGCCACCGGTTTTACTGGTTACCAACTGATTTCCGTTTTACCTTCTGATAAAAGCCAAACAAGCATGTGCTACACCCTGCCTACCCAACCGTAAGGGCGGCTGATCGGCAGGACCTTAATGTCTTGGTGCCTATCCAGCTTCAGATACAAGTAAAAGCGTTCAGATCTATTTTTAAGTCAAACCCAATTGACAATCACCACCACCAGTGGTGATGGGTGGCAGATTCCATACTTTTAGCTGCACCCCTGTAGCTACATTCATTGCTAAATATTTTTCGGTCTGAATGAGTTGGTCTTCGGCGTTCCGATAGTTTTTATATCTACTGAACCAAACGAAACCAACCGGAGCAGCTGAATTGAACTGAATCTTGGGCGGTGGTTGGACATATCAAGGTCGATGAAGTTCTGTTCTGCGCTTAGCGCAAACGTCCGTAGTGACTACAGCCGATAATCACGTATTTCTCCAGTTTCTTCGGAAATACACGTACCGTGCACATATTGTTAATGTACAGATTTCCACAGCATTATGACTTCAGAAGATCCAAACCACGGAGGTACGTTTCACCAGCAAATTTCTATTTGAAAACCTGCCATCTTACGTATGCATACTCGCCATTACGCGAGGCAGTCGGGAAATCCGTCCACGTTATTAAGAGTACCCTTACTATTGAATTAATTCACATTTGAAGCTTCGCAAGTTTGGAATAGCGCAGTGTGTTATAAACGATTCAGGTGGAGGTTCAGGTTGATGAGAGCAGAAGACGGCTTGACCTGTGTCTGCCCAATCGTCCGTTCACCGCATTCGAGTTATTCGTTACAATGTGTTGGTCAGGGTTATGGGTGTGACGGTGTTGTCTAGAATCTCCAGGTGTCTTGTACCAAGGTTTTTCAGTGGTAAGGAAAGGTGACGGGGCAGTGTTCTT